GCCATCCAGTAGCTCATCTGCCTCTGCTAACCACAGGGCCTCGGCCACATGCTGTGGACGGTTGAAATGATCAGGATCTCTCATTTCTATGGCTCTATCAAGCCATCTGATGGTGTTGCTAGTGAAAAAGAGATCTATTCCAGCTAGCCTGAGGAAGTCTCTTCCTAGGATTGAATCGTATTGGCAAGGGGCGTCAAAGAGCCTTGCCTCTATCCCGCCTATGCGTCTGCCATTGCCGAACTCTGGCAGGCGGATATCAGTTAGTATGGCACTCTGAGAAGTATCGAAGCTGCCATTGGCTGTAGTGGTAATTTGCTTGTGAGCTGAGATGGTAGGCAAAGCTCCCACTGGGAGACAGCGTGTGTGTAGCAGTGTTCCTGTACTGCCACTGTCAAAGAGGACCCGGAGGATGCGTCCTACATGGAGCCCCTGTATGTTGCCAGCAACTAGCACGGCTACGGGCAGCTTATCGGGCGATCTCGTGGTCGGGGCCCTCGCAGGGGGCTGAGAAGTATTGCGATTCGTACCACTGGTACTCTGGTGCTCCGTTGGGAAAGCCTCCGTACTGGGAGAGCTTGGAGCCGAAAGGGGTCACCATTGACGCTCCTGATGATACGATTGGTTGTAAGGATGGAATTGGTAGTAACCCTCCGACTGCTGCTGTGTTGGAGCGGTGGTATGTGGTGTCAAAGAAGACTGTACAGAGGGAGAGGCTATTACAGGAGGTACTGAAGAAGGCTGCTGTGTGTTCTGGGAGTTAGCCACGTAGCTCTGCTGGTCTGAAACAACCACTTGATGGGACGGGACGAACTGTCCGTTGATCTGGTAGTAAGTCTGTAAAGGCTGTGGATGATAGCCACCGCGGCCACCGCGGCCGCCCCAAAAGGAGCCACTATTTCGTCCGCCACGGCCGCTGCGGCCGCCTCGTCCCTGTTGTTGTTGCTGGTTCCTCCAGTTCAGTGGGCAGTCTCCCCATCGATGAGCACTGTCATGCCTACGGCAGGGCTTGTTCATCTTGGCTTCAATCTGTTTCTGCCGCTTTGCGTTTGGCTGGTTGCCACGGCCTCTAGCCTGTCCCTGGCCTGTTCCTCTATTGTTGGATCGTCCTCTATTGTTTTGGTCTCTCTTCCTATTCCTTTGATTGTGTTCTGCTGCTTCGTCTGCAATTCCCTTCTGTGTGGTCATGTAAGTTATGATGTCCTTGATTTGATCTGTCTTTAGGTCCTGAGCACTTTGCTTGTAGAGTACTCTCCAGTCTCTGGGGAAGGCGTTGAAAACAATGTGTTTGATCTCGGACTGTGATAACGGTCCTCTTATACCATGTAATCTGTTTGCTCTTTCACAGCATAAGAGTATTGAGTCCACGTGAGCTTGTACGGTTGCCTTTATTGGTTTCAGTACTTTCTCGGACTGAAGATATTGTATTACTGCATCCCGCGACTCCTTGTCGGGGGAGTATTCCTTGTAATAAGCGTTTAAAGCCTCTCGGAAGCCTTCGTTTGTTTCCTTAGAAGCTGTTATTGGTTCTGGCTCTTTCCATAGACCAAGCCATTTCTTCCTGGGACCGTGTTCTAGTATCTCTTTCCATTTCATGTGCCTACTCTTGTTGTTTATGGCTAGGTCTTCACATATATCTAGGAACTCTTCTTCCACATGCATTAGTTCTGGTACTCCGTGATTGCCGGAGAAGACCGAGCATTGTCTTGTAATCTTTCGAGATACTATGAGGTCCTCATCCTCAGTTGAATAGACGTGAATGTTTCTAGTCGAGAGATCCTCTGATTTGAATGGGGGCCTGATCGTTAAGCATGAGCTTGCTAGTAGCTTCGATTGCGACATCTTCTTGACGGTCGTCTTGCTTGTTGTTATTTCACCTATCTTGAGTTTAGTAATTACTGTGCACCAACTACGTGATTAAGATTCGGTACTTAGGTGTTTCTTATAAAATAAATTATGAAGGTAAGATGAATGAATGTAAATTGTCAGATTGGATTCTGTACATCCAACCCGGGACTTGAATCTGGGATGCTGGCCGCCTTGGTGTTTCTTGGTCTCGCGCGATCAACGGTACGCTCGCGGGACCGACGCTCGTTGCAAAACCTGTTTCCAGTCAACAAGCGAAGACAACTTTAGAGGGTCGTAAGAGACAATCTCTAGAACCATGCCGATTTTTATTTTTTTTTAATCTGAATTCTCCGGCCCCCCCTTTTTGATTATGTGACCGGTTTTTGATCACAAAAAATGTGAATTGAGCACATGCATTTTGTATGTATTTATTTAGTCAAAGTAGTCATTACACAAAAATAGGGGCCCAAAATGTCCAACTGGTTTGTACATTGGTTCGCCAACTCTATATGATGTACATGTAAATTAAAACAAGCAGGTTTTGACCAAACCAGCAGTATACCCCTCTTGATTTGCTGGATTCTATTATCATAATTTTGTGTAGACAAGAAGCTTGTACTAGTGGTAGGAAATTCCAAAATTCCAGTTTGTTGTTGTCTCCAGTTTCTTGCTCACCAGTCAGCTTGGGTTTACTGCAGTACAATCCAGTAGGATTTTGAATGCTGGATCAAAACCATTGGTCAGTGACTCTCCATAACTACTTCCAGTATCATAAATATAGTCTTCAGTACATCACCTGCATTTTGTTTTAAGTTGGATAGACCAATGTGTTATATTCATTACCATACTTGAAGATTTTTTTGTCGTTCCTTGCTATATCATAGTAGGTATACATCAACATATATCATTGCCATATTCCTTCACTTCCAAGATCAAAATTGTTGAGTACAATAAAATTGCCTCAAAGGCACTTTATCTCTTTAAAATGCTGTAACATGTTTAAAGCAAGTCAAGATCAGTTCCTTATACTAGTATAATTACTGCTGGAATTATTACATTGCAAAAAAACACCACCACTAATTCTAATATTACTCTCCTTCTAAAAGGCAAGGACCCTTAGATCAAAATGTAAAAGTAGGGGAAGGGCAACCCCCTAAGACATTGTATCATAAACTATCTGCCACTGTTAGGGCGAGCTAAGCATTGGGACATTTCCAGATCTAGTTCAACCAAAAACTGGAGAGTGCATTTCAAAGTAATTCATGAGAACTGGAAGTCAGCTTCTTCCTTCTATAATACTGGAGCAAAAGTAAGTGATATGAACAATTAACTGTCCTTATAGGCTCAGGGTCTTGTGCTGCTGGGAGACAGCCAGCAAATTGATCTAAAAGTAACTAATGCTGTTTCCTAGAAACCAAATAATCTTGCAGAAGCGCTACACCACCAAGCTTAGTACACAATTGAAAAGCCTTTCATTGAAGGCATTTCAAAGATGTCACCTGATGCTGTTCTTGCAGCTAGTATGGTTGCCTCTTCCTCTCCTTCTCCTGCTTTTCTGATAATTCCTACTACTCATAGCCTGTTTACATTGCCAAGAAGAAAAATTCTCAATAAGAAGATTGGTTCAATTTTCTTCTAGCACTTGATTTACATCTATAGTATTAGATAGTCACTCCAACAGGTGGTCATGACACCCTTAGTACAAAAAAAATCACCATCCCTGTGTCAATTTATAGATTTGCTCTCTCCCCCTCACACAACTCTACCAACACATACATTCCCTACCTTCCTTTGATATGAATACACCCGATTGCTTGTCCAGAATAATAGATGTTATATAAACAGAAAACCTGTTAAAATTGTGCATATTGTGCAAAAATATTATAAGAAGGTCCCTTTGGTAGCTCTCCCAAATTTGCCGGCGCATTCAAAGAAAAATTTGCATTCAATCTAGACCATGCATCATTTGTTGAATTCTACTACTAGTAGTACTAGTACTAGTACTAGCATAAAGAAGAAGTACTACTACTAGTACTACTAGTACTATCTGCCAGTGGACCCTTTGTTTCTGAAAGAGGTGAGCAGGGAGCTGGGACAGGAGGTTTCTTGTTGGAGGAGTTGGTGATGCTGGATGCAACAAAATATTTGTCTTGTTATCTTCTTGTTCTTCTTCCTCCTTTGGTGAAAGAAGTTAAGTATTAGTAGTAGTAGGTGCTAGTATTAGTACAGCTACTACTACTAGTACTACCAGGACTGCTACTACAAATGTTCTAGTACTACTAGTACTAATAATAATAATAATAATTGTGAACTACTACTACATCACACTACTAGTAGTAGTACTAGTAGTAGTACTGCAGCTAGTACTACTAGTAGTGATATCCCCACTACTACTAGTACTAGTACTAGTACTAGTACTAGTACTACTACTACTACTACTAGGTAGTAGTAGTAGGAGGAGGAGTGGCAGTGTGGTACTGCTGCTAGTACCAGTAGTAGTAGTACTTCTAACCTCTACTAGTAGTAGTTGTACTTGTTATAGTACTACTACCAACTGATAGTGATGTGGGATTTCAAGCCTTGTACTTTGGCCAGGTTGCACAGGCAACAACCTTCTTCTTCCTTCTTCTGAGTACATAATAGTGGATGTTGCTTCTTCTTCTTGCTACTTACATCCAGCTGAATTATGGCAAAGAACCTGCTACATCGGACTATCAAGAGAGGAAATGATTGCTAATGGAATTGTGGGCAGGTGCGCTCTACCTAGTAAAAAGCTAGCCGATCCAGCAAAATGCTGGATGAGGAATCAGAATTAGATGGGAGCCAGTTGCAAGATTGGAATCACGCCATGTTGTCTGAGCTCTTCGCTACTTGTAAATTGAATAATGCATAGGCAGGTACTACGGACGCCCCAATACTTCTAAGGGTAGATAGCTCGTTCTACTAATTTTCAAGATGATGCGGTTTTTGTAAACCACTAGTAGCATTAGTTCCCGTACCAGGTAAAGATTCGAACTTAACTGTAGGTTGGGAAGTAATTGCAATTTTTATCTTTGAAGACTCAACTTCAGACGGCATTTTGATCAAATGTTGAATTTTCGTTCTCATTTACAAATGAAGCGTTTCATTGCCAACGTATGTTTCATTATCGAAGAGCCAATCCATCTCTTCGCCACAAAGCCAATCTCTCCAATTAGAATCCTCGCCATAAAATATATCCGTTTCGTTGCCGAAAAGCCAATCCGTCTCGTTGTCACAAATCCATTCCGTTTCGTTGCCGAACATCCAGTCCGTATCGTTACCAAGTAGCCAATCTGTTTCGTTGGTAAACAGCAAATCAATGTCGTCATCAAAGATCAAACCAGTATCATTGGATAGTTGTGGCTGTGTGCAAAATCTGATTACTTCTCTCCTATTCCATTCCCCGCTTCCTCTTCTCCCGAATTCGAGTTCGTCGTCGAGAAAAACAGCGTAATATCCATCAGCCTCGGGATAGTCAGGAACACTCATCCCGTCTGTGCATAGAAAAATTAAAAACATACGACCAGAAAATTAAAATTGTGAGGAATTGTCTAGACCTAATATATGAATCATTTGGCTGTTCACTGCACGTCCCCTCGTAGGCCATCAATATAGCGTACCTTTTCCTTGATCAAAGAATACAAAGGTATAGCAGTTGTCATATTCCAAGCAATAAGAGTCCTGAGAACCAGAAAAGAAAGAAAAGGGATCAGAGAATGGTTGGGATGAGACACGATCAAGCGATACGCTCAATAATACTGTGATGAGTGCAGTTAATGGATCTACTGGTTGAAAGAAACAAACTTACGATGTATTTTGTCCCTGGAAATTGGAAATTTCTTCTATCAGTCCATCTGGCCTGATTTTGATTTTTAAACTTCCACTTATTCTCCCATGGGTTGAGATCTGTTTTTACATTGATTTCCATCTTGTACCCTTCGTCACAGTCATCCACGACGCTTGTTCGCACGGCCCCGTAAGCTGCCAATTGTGCATAGATAGGATTGAGTGTGTCTCTCAAGGTCGGTGCCTCGGATGGTGCCTCAGATGGTGCCTCAGATGGTGCCGCAGATGGTGTCGCAGATGGTGCCGCAGATGGTGCGGTGGATGGAGCCGCGGATGGATCCTCCGATGGTGTCGCAGATTGTGGCACGGACGGTGCATCCGATGGTAGCGTTGATGGGGCCGCTGATGGGGCCGCTGATGGGGACCCTGATGGAGCTAGTGACGGTTCCGAGGAAGGAAGTCTTTCGGGGATGATATCAACAATTGCATCGCTCAGCTGGGCTTCGGTAAACCTAACTGTCAGCGATTTTCCGGAATTGTCATAATTCTGGATCACATAGGACTCCCCAACACCCAGTGCTGCTTTTTTCCATGTAAGTTCTACTGCATCGACATCACCATTCTTTTCTATAATGATAACTTTGTCGCCATCTTCCTGGGTACCGGTGTTCATTCCAGAGGCCCAATTGTATCCAAGGTAATAATCACCTGGTAGATTCGGCTGCTCCAGTCTTATCGTAACAAATTTGGAAGGGTCGAAGGCATCGTACCCCGCCACACCACTTATCACAAATGTACCACCAAAGTCATCGCCTATAGTGGGAGTGACGGTATGTTCCGAATACCATCCTAGTTGATAGTTGTTCGCCGCATTGTAACACATAGCTGGGTCATCGGCGTCCGCGTACCCCATGTAACCACTTTTGTCTCCATATTCTGCGTCAATCGAGCCATCCTCACCTTCTCCGGCGTGTTGAAGACCGAGATTGTGGCCAACCTCGTGCATTTGAACCATCAAGTCTTTGATGCTATTGTTGCTGTAATACGAAAACGGCGTCCCGATGTATGCATAGGCCGCGAAAGGAGGTGAAGTTCCGGGTGGGATAGAAAACATGACCAAATCAAATTGGATGTTCAAGTTACCCAGAACATAGGCCGCAGCTTCGTTGGCATCATTTTCCATCCGCTTATCTGATTGACCGCGTGGATCAGTGGTTATTCGCAGTTCGATGATTCCGCTTGATATTTCCTGCTGAAAATAACCATCCGCATACCCCCTGAAGGGCTCAATGGTCACTTGACCGTGAGAGCATCGTGCCATTTGTGTCTTGAGGCTGAGACCACCTCCATATATTTCATTTTGCAAATCAGAGAGGGAAGGTTCGGGTTGAACATTGCCACCAACTATACGAATGATGAGTGTCCGCAGAGGTCCCGTTGTTCTTAGTTTACGTCTATCATCAGCTTCTGTCGCCCMCTCAACGTCGATCCAAACATCCGAGCCTTCGACATCTGATACAGTTGCATTCGGATTTAAGGTAATCGTGTTTGCTGCATCATCAATTCTGATCATGTCCGGTGAATCCCATCTCAAATAACTGCGGGCACTTTCGACACCAGCTTCCTTGAAAGTCTTATCGAGTTGCTCGAGTTCCTCGATAGTATCGCCGGACAGCTCAAGGGCGTAAGGATACGGAGTCCCACTGGATTCGCTGGTGTAGTTTTCCAGAATGCACACCCATTTGTCTATGCTATCAAGGGCGTTGGAAGGATCAAAATGCAAATCCTCCATAAATAATTTGCAAGATTTGATTTCTTCGAGCTTCCGTACAACCTGGGCACGCCGCCGATGCATCGTATCGGCATGGTCGGCATCAGATATTACAGAAACGCTAAATAGTCCCGGTTCTACCTCATGACTTTCGATGCGGCGCTGATTTGTGGCTTTCGCCCCTCGTCGCAGTGCCGGTCGCATCTTCTCTTCATCTAGAGCGAGTGTTGACGGTGGCGAAAGTGCTGCAGCGCTGAATGTTAGCAGTGACGTTAGAGGAGCTTTCATTATTCCTTCTTGTTAGGCTGTGTAGTGTTTTTTGTGATCTATCAATTATGAATGACTTATGTACAGTCTTTTTGCTATTCAACACTAGTGCGTAGTGTGAAGTGTACAATGAGCAGAGATGCAAAAATGGTTAGAAACCCTTTGTAGTCGATTTCATGACCCCTTCCAATTGAATAAGTCAGTTTGGATTAGTCAATCTCACCTGTACGAAAATTATGGTGATGTGGTTTTGCGTCCGAAAGCTGCTTTTCCACTACACGTGTGGCTCTCTTTAAGCACAATTAAACGCTGCTACACCCAACGGTATGATTGATCAATGTCTAACGTAGTCTTTGGTCTCAACGGTGATCGTGCAAGGTATGTGGATCGGACTGCTCTAACAACTACGTGTGGGAAGAACGTTCGTGCGAAATATGCAAAAGTACAGTAAGAAACTCGTATTTGAATTTCCACCGTGTTTTCAGCGCCATGATATTATTTTTAGCATGACCGGCAACATTTCTTGGGTACTACTTGTACCGGTAAATAGTGGAATTTTATTGTTTGGCAAGTAATGGAGCGGAGGTGGTGCGGTTGTTTTTGTTTTGATGCCGTGAAAGTACGAGTAATCGCACGGTAATTGTACGTCTCCATTCGGAGTCTACGACGAGATGAAGTCGTGGGCGAAAAAAGGTCATAAATTACTTATCGCCTTTCACACATTAAATGTCCTTCTCTTATGTGATTTTTTTAATATGTGGGAACTTTTACAGCAATAATAAATAGAGTTTTTAACAGGGTGAAGATGATATTGTGCAAGACGGGGAAGCTTAATCCGAATGTCCGTCGACGAAAATAACCAAGACAGGATCTGAGGGGTTTTCTCGACAAATCTTGCTTCGACAAAATTGCCGGCGGACTAATCGGCATACTGGTCTCAAAAGCGTTAAGGAATCTCGAGGATGTCCGTCATTCCCGCCAAAAAACCCTAACCGCCAATAGCCAAATCTCTTGTAGCGGGATGCTCACGTCGCTCGAGCACGACTGGCCCTACATAATTGCTTGATTACAATTGGTAAAACGGGAAGGGCTGCTACGACAAGATAAAAGATAAGTCAATGGTTCATTCCCGAAAACATATTCTGTGATATGTTTTCGGGAATCACTTTCAGTGGTACAGATGGCACAGCCGGCCAGCTCAACTTACATATTTTCCCCCCATTTTTGGAATTTGGAATCCTGTATAAATTGCATGCAATTTCACAAAATTCCATAGTGGCGGGAATTTTGGGATTTTCACTAAACCAGCTCTGCCTTCCGAACTTCGGAAAATCCTTCTCCAAAATCAAATCCTCCTCCGAAGAAAGAAGAAAAGAATACAACAACAACAACAAAGAAAACAGTCCCTACCCTCACTATTT